TTTTCCCTATCTTATGAACAGCAGCTACACTTTCCCTCCTCTTACTAAGCATGCAGTTTGAGAATGAATCTAAAATGGATGCCTTCCAGGAGGTGGGAGGGTCTGCTAGGGAGGGTGTGCTGCTAATTGGCTGGAATGTGTCTGCTGACTGTGAGGTACAGGGTCAAAGTTTACTCAATGATGACGAATAGGGGGCGGATCAAACCGCGCATATGTTCACCCACCGTGGCGAACGCGAACATGCTATGTTCGCCAGGAACTATTCGTCTGCGAACCGTTCGGTGCATCACTAGTAGCTAGGGTAAGAAAGCTCTTAGTCACAATAGCTTGCATTTAAAACCCAAAAACTTTTTTCACTGTTATAGATTGAATAGCAGTTAGTTGTCTGCCAGCATCTGTGTCAGGCTCACAGTGGATACTGTGCCCAGTGCCACCACTCACTCACTGGTGTCACAATAGCTTGCATTTAAAACCCCAAAACTTTTTTCACTATTATAGATTGAATAGCAGTTAGTTGTCTCAAAGCGGGTGTGTCAGGCTCACAGTGGATACTGTGCCCAGTGCCACCACTCACTCACTGGTGTCACAATAGCTTGCATTTAAAACCCCAAATTTTTTTTCAGTGTTATAGATTGAATAGCAGTTAGTTGTCTGCCAGCGTCTGTGTCAGGCTCACAGTGGATACTGTGCCCAGTGCCACCACTCACTCACTGGTGTCACAATAGCTTGCATTTAAAACCCAAAAACTTTTTTCACTTCGTTATAGATTGAATAGCAGTTGCCGTTCGCCAGTCTGTGTCAGGCTCACAGTGGATACTGTGCCAAGTGCCACCACTCACTCACTGGTGTCACAATAGCTTGCATTTAAAAAACAAAAAACCCTTTTCACTGTTATAGATTGAATAGCAGTTAGTTGTCTCAAAGCGGGTGTGTTAGGCTCACAGTGGATACTGTGCCCAGTGCCACCACTCACTCACTGGTGTCACAATAGCTTGCATTTAAAACCAAAAAACTTTTTCACTGTTATATATTGAATATAAAAGTGGCCTCTTTGAGAGAAATATTTCCCACAATCAGAACAAAAATAAGGTTTCTCTCCTGTATGGCTCCTCAAATGATGCTTAAGATTGGAAGCGGCTGAAAAGCATTTCTCACACTCAGAACAAAAATATATTTTTTTAACATCTTCCACTTTGAACGGTAAAATGACGCTTGGGAAGAGATTTTGTATGAGTAGGTTTTTCATGTACGACACGGAACATGATTTAGATCCTTGGTGCTCAAGTAGATCCAATAGTGTGTATGTAGGGGAACAGTTGGGTCCATATCTGCCAAGTGACCCTATGTAGGAGGAACAGTCTCTATTCTGCTCTGTGTCAGCGTGTATCAGGGGCTCTGAGGACAGGTGTCAATCCATATCTGCCAAGTGACCCTATGTAGGGGGAACAGTCTCTATTCTGCTCTGTGTCAGTGTGTATCAGGGGCCTTGAGGACAGGTGTCAATCCATATCTGCAAAGTGACCCTATGTAGGGGGAACAGTCTCCATTCTGCTCTGTGTCAGTGTGTATCATGGTCTCTGAGGACAGGTGTCAATCCATATCTGCCAAGTGACCCTATGTAGGGGGAACAGTCCCTATTCTGCTCTGTGTCAGTGTGTATCAGGGGGCTCTGAGGACAGGTGTCAATCCATATTCGCCAAGTGACCCTATGTAGGGAGAGGTGGCAGTGGCGCAGTATACAGGGGTCGTGAGTGGGCGTTGCTGGGTACTGGCTCGCCTATTTGGGGCCCGCCCCTGCGACCCGGTATGTAGCCACAGGGCAGCCTCTTCCCCTGGGGGGCCCAGGAGGCGGCCACCTCAGGGCCCCCCGAGGCTGGCCCTGCTGACCCCAGCAGGCGGGTGGCCGGTCGTGCGGGCAGGCAGGCGCGCGAGGGAGCACTCAGTGCTTCCTCTTCCGCTCCCTCGCGCACCGCACTGATACTAGAGCCGGAAGATGACGTCATCTTCCGGCGCCGGCATCCCTACGCGGCGAGCGAGGGAGCGGAAGAGGAAGCACTGAGTGCTCCCTCGCGCGCCTGCCTGCCCGCACGACCGGCCACCCGCCCAGGAGCCCAGCAGCACCACTGGACCCCAGGGAATCCCCCCAGCACTCCAAAAGGTAAGGAGGCTGGGGGGATTAAATTTTAAAAAAAGTGTGTGTGTGTTTGTGTGTGTTAGAGTATGTGTTTTAGTGTGTGTGTGTGTGATAGTGTATGTGTGTGTTAGTGTGTGTTTGTGTCAGTGTTTGTGTTAGTGCGTGTGTTAGTGTGTGTCAGTGAATGTGTCTGTTATTGGGTGTGTGTCTGCTAGTGAGTGTGTTACTGTGTGTGTCTGTTACTGAGTGTGTTTGATATCTGTTAGTGAGTGTGTGTTTGTCAGTGAAAGTGTATGTTTTGTAAGTGAGTGTGTATGTATGTCTCGCTGAGTGTGTCTCTGTCAGTAAATGTGTGTCTGTTAGCTAGTGTGTATGCGTCTGTTCGTGAGAGTGTGTGTGTGTGTCTTCAGCATTTACCTTTCTCCAGCGTCGGACTCCCCAGTGTCCGCCACTCAGCTCCGAAATGCACATGCGCGGCAAGAGGCGCGCGCGCATTTAAACCGCCCATAGGAAAGCATTAATCAATGCTTTCCTATGGACGTTCAGTGTCTTCTCACTGTGATTTTCACAGTGAGAATCATGGAAGCTCCTCTAGCAGCTGTCAATGAGACAGCCACCAGAGGCTGGATTAACCCTCAGTGAAACATAGCCATTTCTCTGGAACTTCTATGTTTTCAGCTGCAGGGTTAAAACTAGAGGGACCTGGCACCCAGACCACTTCATTGAGCTGATGTGATCTGGGTGTCTGTAGTGGTCCTTTAATTGTGTGTGCATACCGCGGTCGCGGGGTCGCAACCCCTGCGACCAGGTGCCCGCCACCATGTGTTGCGACCCCGACCCGCGCCGAGTAAGCGCGGGGGTGGGGGGGCCCACGGATCAATTTTTGCACCGGGGCCCCATGGTTCATGTGTACGCCACTGGTAGGAGGAACAGTCTCTTTTCTGCTCTGTGTCAGTGTGTATCAGGGGCTCTGAGGACAGGTGTCAATCCATATCTGCCAAGTGACCCTATGTAGGAGGAACAGTCTCTTTTCTGCTCTGTGTCAGTGTGTATCATGATCTCTGAGGATAGGTGTCAATCCATATCTGCCAAGTGACCCTATGCAGATGAACAGTCTCTATTCTGCTCTGTGTCAGTGTGTATCAGGGGCTCTGAGGACAGGTGTCAATCCATATCTGCCAAGTGACACTATGTAGGGTGAACAGTCTCTTTTCTGCTCTGTGTCAGTGTGTATCAGGGGCTCTGAGGACAGGTGTCAATCCATATCTGCCAAGTGACCCTATGTAGGAGGAACAGTCTTTATTCTGCTCTGTGTCAGTGTGTATCAGGGGCTCTGAGGACAGGTGTCAATCCATATCTGCCAAGTGACCCTATGTAGGAGGAACAGCCCCTATTCTGCTCTGTGTCAGTGTGTATCAGGGATCCTTAGGACAGGTGTCAATCCATATCTGCCAAGTGACCCTATGTAGGGGGAACAGTCTCTATTCTGCTCTGTGTCAGTGTGTATCAGGGGCCTTGAGGACAGGTGTCAATCCATATCTGCCAAGTGACCCTATGTAGGGGAACAGTCTCTATTCTGCTCTGTGTCAGTGTGTATCATGGTCTCTGAGGACAGGTGCCAATCCATACCTGCCAAGTGACCCTATGTAGGGGTAACAGTCTCTATTCTGCTCTGTGTCAGTGTGTATCATGATCTCTGAGGACAGGTGTCAATCCATATCTGCCAAGTGACCCTATGTAGGAGGCACAGTCTCCATTCTGCTCTGTGTCAGTGTGTATCAGGGGCTCTGAGGACAGGTGTCAATCCATATCTGCCAAGTGACCCTATGTAGGAGGAACAGTCTCTAGTCTGCTCTGTGTCAGTGTGTATCAGGGGCTCTGAGGACAGGTGTCAATCCATATCTGCCAAGTGACCCTATGTAGGAGGAACAGTCTCTATTCTGCTCTGTGTCAGTATGTATCAGGGGCCATGAGGACAGGTGTCAATCCATATCTGCCAAGTGACCCTATGTAGGAGGAACAGTCTCTATTCTGCTCTGTGTCAGTGTGTATCAGGGGCTCTGAGGAAAGGTGTCAATCCATATCTGCCAAGTGACCCTATGTAGGAGGAACAGTCTCTATTCTGCTCTGTGTCAGTGTGTATCAGAGGCTCTGAGGACAGGTGTCAATTCATATCTGCCAAGTGACCCTATGTAGGAGGAACAGTCTCTATTCTGCTCTGTGTCAGTGTGTAACATGATCTCTGAGGACAGGTGTCAATCCATATCTGCCAAGTGACCCTATGTAGGGGGAACAGTCTCTATTCTGCTCTGTGTCAGTGTGTATCATGATCTCTGAGGACACGTGTCAATCCATATCTGCCAAGTGATCCTATGTAGGAAGAACAGTCCCTATTCTGCTCTGTGTCATTGTGTATCAGGGATCCTTAGGACAGGTGTCAATCCATATCTGCCAA